GACCTTCCGTCACCGCTTCTTTCGAGCTGGTGGAAGCTTTCCCCCGAAGGACTTTAGGGCCCCGGGGTGAGTCTATTCTGCACCCGGCAGCGACACGTGGTGGTCCAAGATCACCGACTATGTTCTGGCCGAAAATGCCGATCTCAAGGGCACAGAGCTGTATGTGGCCATCGAAGCCACTCGACACGGCTTGCGGATCAACGCTTCTCAGTTCCATAGTATCTTGGAACTGTATTGCGCGGAAAGCGGCACGTTTTTCACCCCCAATGGTGAGCTTGGTATCACCCCTCACGAGATGTACGACGTGTCGGGGCTGCCTCTGGGAGACTTTCCTTACGAGGAGTACGTCCCCGATCAAGAGGAGATCGATAAGCTGTCGAGCCATTCCCCTTTGGCGGTTGAAACTCTGTGGGAGTTACTCTGCCACTACCACATATGCCTCAGTATCCTAGGGGCCTCGGATCACAAGGGGAAGAAGAAGAAGACCCCGGGGATCAGCCACAAGAATTGGGCTGATTACCTGTTCCCGGGGAACGATGTCAAGGGGATTCCCGCTCTCCCGTTAGGCGTGTGCGACCAGTCCGAAGTGGAGGCGAGGACAGTTAAAGAAGGAAGCACTCTGACTCTTGACCGCGACGAGGGCGGGTTTAAGTCTGGTACTGTCCTTCACTCATTCCATCATCAGGCGAAGTTTCTCATCTCGGGGAAGGCGCTGCTCGCGGGGTACCTCATGTTATGGCTGAAGAGGTGCGTAATCCCCACTCACTCCTTTGAGGCTCTTCCTGTGGAGGTCGTGTATCCGGCGGTTTGCCTAGCTCACGGGAAGTCTTATTCCCTGGTATCGGCAACGATAGCGTGCATTCACCGGGGGCTCCGCACTCTGACGGCCCAATTCTGCCGTGTGTCGGTCCTTGATGAGGGGGAAGGAGTAGTTATCAAAACTCCCAATCCTAGGGTGGGGCTACCGTACACCTACTTGATGGCGTGGTTCGTATACCACTGCGAATGTTTGATGAGCGCCCCGGCGATGCTTCAGGGCGATAAGTTCGTCCCCTTCGTCCAGCGCTTGGAGAGGTGCTCTTGGAAATGCAAGGACATCCCTGATGCAAGGAAGACGCTCTCCCACTTCGGGCATTATAATTTCCGCCGCTTCTTCCCTTATTTCAGCGGGGGCGGATATGGAGAATCTCTCAGGGATGCTCCGACAGCGGATCACTACACGGTCCTTACTCGTGGTGCCTTTCGCTGGTTGGTGAATATCCGACCGGGGTATCACATTCTGAGAACGGGCCCTACATGCTATCTCGAGCCATATATCCCCTGCAGGTTCGCCCGCCAGTTTGGGTACGATCAATTGTATGTGGGTAATGCCAACCCCCACCTAAACTTCGAAGGAGGACTAGTTGACGGAGCTCGGGGATGGTTCTGGACCCATGCTGGAGGCACCCAAGCCCGCTTTGAGTTGCCCGCGAAGGACCGCGATTTACACCACACGCTCTTATACTGCCGCTGGTATCGGGGCGCTAGTGCTAATCCTGCCAATTTCTGGTTCCAGAACTCATGTCTGGTGGAACGCGATCGTCCTGTCAGGGGTCCTCTCCGTTCTTCGAGGCGAAGGGGCCACCAAATCGCTAGGGAGTTGTTCTCGGAGGATCCAGTTGAGGATTCCGAGGGTTTTGATGCTGGTTTGGACGAATCTGAGGTTCCCGAGATTCGAGCTCCAGTCCAGAGTCCGACAATCGGACAAATGGGGGCGCCGCTTCTGTCTCCGAGTAGCTCGCTTCTCTCGAAGCGTCAGCGGGAGGCAGTGGCTGAGAGTTCCCGAGCGGGGGCGGCTAAGAAGGTCCGTCGTGATGAGATGGCGGAAACCGTCCGAGCGGCGGAAGGTCAGGATGATGTTCCCCAGGTGGGTATCCCCGGAGCGGCGACGTCTGGAGTTGTGCTGCCCGTCTCTTCTGCTGCATCGGGGGCGGCTCTGGCGACTACGAGAGACGCTCCTCCGCGATCTAGCGAGAGGCTACCGACGGGAGCTCCAGCGGCTTCTGTGTCCGCATCAGGAGGTAATTTTTCTTTTGCAATATCGTCTTTGATCGCAACGATGATCTCATACCTTTTGACATTGGTATTGGACCTATGCAGGTGCGATTGAGGAGGTGATCCCCATTCCTTCCGACGAGGAAGGGGAGGCTAGAGGTGAGGAGGGGCCCACCGGCTCGGGTAAGCGTGTGTTTTAGCATTACTTTTCTTCCCGTACCCGACTGTTAGTAGGGTCCCTTTCGAGGGGTCTTTGTTAACCTCTTTCTGTGCATTTGTAGTTGACCCTAACCGCGAAGTCGCAGGTGAGGAGGATCCTCACTCTTGGGCGAATCGCTCATCTGAGGCGGGCGAATCTGAGGAGGATGACAATGTCTCAGTTCACGAGGCATTGTCCAGTGAGGAAGAGGATTTGGCGCTTGAGGACGCGCCTGGCCAAATAGGGGGATCTCCTGCTCCTACGGAAGCGTCGGCTGGGGGTCATTCATCGGCGCGAGAGTCTCCGCTTCAACGGGAGGCCCCCATTCTGCAGGTGACCATTTCTCCGTCGACGGCGGCCGTTGACGTTGTGACCACTGCACCGAGGGTGTCATTGGTCGCAGCGGCTCCGGTGGTGCCCGTTACCACTTCTACGGTTATGGCTACAGGTACCTCGACCGTGATTTCGTCCACGGCGGAGGAGGTCGCCCTCTCTCCCTTGGAACGCTGGCGAAAAACGCAGGTGGAGCGAGCTCTGGCGAATTTCGAAGATACTTTGGCCCACTGCACCCGGCTGGTCTTGGAGGAGAATTGCCCCTTCGAAGAATTCAGGGAAGTTCTTGAACACGATGCGTCCTTCTTGCGTAAGAGGCTCGGCGCCGCCGCGGCGAGGCCCTATTTTCAGCGTCTGAACGAAGTGGAGGGGGCTGTTCGGCAGCTGCTCGCTCTTCGTGCGGAGAGTTCCACTCTTGTTGATCTCGCCTCCCGCGAAGTTCGAGTAGCTTTGG